ACTCTTTCGCACACTCACCATCCAAGATTCTGGAAACGTATTGGATAGGTTTACACCGTGCATTTAGGTCACAGCTTATATCCCAAATTCGACCTTTAATTAATTATTTAAGCCACTTGCTGTAAACATTTCATAGTTGACTTAACCTGGCCTTTAGGTCAGGTTTCAATTGTGGTGATCTAACCTAAAGGCTTACTAATTTTCTCCTAAGGCATAATCCCTAAAGGCGCGATCGATTAACAGCGCTGAGACCGCGAAAATACTTTAGGCCGCTTATGGTGTATAATGTAATAATTAGCGATTATAATAATTAGACTTTTCTTGGTTTAGGTCAAGCGGCGCATAGGTCTTTCGGTGCAAACGCAGTCAATGGTCATTCAGGAGGGTAGATTATAATAAAAAAGATGAAAAAAATTGAGACTGTACATTATCTTGAAATCGCGACAATCCTTTCTTTGTGTATGGTTTACCCAACGTCTCTGGGAAAGCTAATGTCTGGATTTTGGTCTAACAAGCAGCATGGTATTGTCATCTGACCTAAAGGCCAGGTTAAGTCAACTATAAAATGTTACAGCAAGTGACTCTTTATAGTTGGATTGGGTATCCATTTAAGGATGAAGAAGAAGAAGAAGAAGAAGAAGAAGAAGAAGAAGAAGAATTTACTCGACGTTCACCAGAGTTTTTTCTCGCAACTGCAGGCCAAACCTCATGGAAAATTCGTGGAACTTCAATTGCTTTCAATTCAGAAGAGACGATAGTAACGCGCGGAATGTCGATCGTTCGAAAATATACACGGTTGTATATCAAGCGCAGAATAGCCTGCGGTGACAGTAGATGGAAGGTCGTGGCGTTGCGTGCCACTCTGCGGCAAAGTCATTCATCTATTTTCGTCCGTGTGCGTGGGCCCAGCAGCTTCCAACTCGCGATCAGTCTCTCGTGAGCTTCGCGACGCGTCGAGAGGAAGAAGGCATTTGAAGAACTTGAGCTTGATTAAATCGCGTCGAGTCGAGAACATTAGTTACCGATGTGTCGTGTTATTCGTGATCTCAAGTAACGCGGTGGCGACGTATGACAGCGCGGGACGCTCGACAGACTAATTGAGAAATTCGTTGTGGCGATTAGTCGACGCGTCCCCGACATTACGCGAAATCTGAAACCACAAGTCGCAGCCACATTAATCACTCATGGGTCGTATCGTCCATCTCAACTGGCGAAGTAAGTGAATAGGCACGCGTGGACTAATTGCGCGGAATTCGTTGCGCCGCTTAATCAGCCCCGCGATCTAAATTGCGCAAACGTGAGCTGCGACATTGCATTCGCGGTTAAATGAAAATCTGGTATCTCTGTCGCGTTACTTCGAAAAGCCTATGGAACGTGATTCAACTTAATGATTTCTTCATCCTGGAAGCTTTCAAAAATTCGACAGATGTAATTTTTAAAATGCTAATTAAAAGATTAAAAATTAAGTCAATGGTGAAAGAGTTAAATTCTTAGACAATTATATGATTATATTTATCTTATATTGCATATCACATTCAGAGAAAAAGAGTAATGTTAACTATATGTAAGTAACAATTGTATATATTTTATATTATGTACATTAATTCTACGTAATATAAAATATGTACAATTATATACTTACATAATTGTCATTTATATAATTGCCACCATTATGTCTTATAATTACTACAATTACATAAAATAGTTTATTCAACATGTGTGTGTGTGTGTGTACCTATATTAATTTGATGCTATCATTATATTTTTTCTCTGAATACAATAGAAAATAAAGTATATACATAATTATTATAATTACTAAATCTAAAACGTCGAATTTTTTCAACATTTAAGGTCTGTTATTTTACAGGAACTCTTATTTCCAGATTGAATAAAAACAGGGATCAAATGTTAAAAGCTCCATAGTAGACGAACTGCAGAATTGCTCGCTTCTGTAGTATGCTATACATTGTTGATGTTATTAGTAACGTGCCGAAAGATGCCTATTCGTGCCTTCGAGGTTCCTTTGGCGACCTCCCAAAACACGTCAGTGGAGCTTCCAGAACGTGTAAAACTCGGCAAAATCGAATCAATCTTTATCGCGCGAACGAACGGGTACGAGGCGTATTCTTTCTGACCTGGAATTGGGACCAGGCAATTTCTCATCTCTAAGTAGTACAACAATTATTTTTTGGAGAGCGCGTGTCTTTGCCGTTTCTTTTTATCTTTTCTCCTAAAACGCGACATCGATGGAACTTTCGGAACAGATGAAAATCGGATCGAGTTTTTATTGTGAGCACAAGGCGTATTCTTTTAGGAATTGAAACAGGACAATTTCTCGTCTGTATTCTCCCGCAATTGTCCTCTTCCTCTTTTTTTTTATGCAGTATTTGCGACACCCGCACCTTAATATTTATCGACCCGTAGTAACTCACCTTCGCTCTCTGACATCCAGTTATTTAGCCTTTGTGGTGTAAAAGAGCCACTAAACATGAAGAGGAATTGCGCATATTTTTATAGGAATATTGAGCGTACCGCTTTAATTTTGTTTGAAGCGAGAGCGAACGGAAAATGTTGTCAATTTCAATTGTAGATATTAACGTTTGATCTTAAATTCAGCATTAACGTACACATTCGTAATTCAATTTATGTAAATTGCTCATATTTTTGCGTCTCTCTCTCTCTCTCTCTCTCTCTATATATATATATATATATACATACATATACATATATATATTCGGCGATAGATATATTTGGAATAGCATTTCATTTTTGTCATCAAACAGTATTGTCGCTATTCTCATCCTTTGAGTATGACACTCTCAATTTGCGGATTTATTTTATCTCTTTGATACCAGCATTTATGTGTGTGTGTGCCCGTTCCTATCAGTATAGATTAACTTTAATTTCGATTCAACTTACTCTTCATTTATTTTCTCATTTTTAGAACTAGGAAAAAATGAAGAATTAGTTGAATGGAGATAAAAATTAAACTACGTTGATAAAAACGAGCATCTACGAGTATGATGTGTATATTGACGTGATGTGCTTCATCTATTTCGATATTTTCTATCCCGATGATGTTTGTTCGTTATTAAATTTTATGAAATTGCAATTTAAACATTACGTTTTTTCTTGCGAAAACTAAGCTGTATCTACATAAAGTAAAGATACATTTTATGAAGAGAAACTTATGAAAGAATTAAGTACAATATATTAATATATATATTCTCCAGTAAAGTTATTTTTTATTGGAAATTCTCGATAATAAGTTTTATCTAGTACAGAATTTAGCGAAAAAAAAAAACAAGCTATAACTACTTCATCATCTTGTTAACATTTTTATTCGCGATTTTTCATAATTGCTGAAATTGGTATTTCAAACTCGTTTTGAATTCGAAAATATACTTTATGTGAAGTTAGCCTCCTCAACATTTATTTGTTAATACTTTTTTAATTTAAGGTGTGCGAAGGAAAAGTCTTGTTCGAAGCGTGCAAACAAAAATCTATTGATTAAACCCTTTTCAATCTAATTTACTCAAAGTTGGGGGACTAGTGTAATGTTAGCTCCTTAAAATTGTTTTTTGAATAACTTTTTTTACTGGAAGTATGCAAACAATAAGCAATTGAATGCGCTATATTAATAAATTTAAAATTTTTTAATACTGGAGATTAAGTTCACAATAGTAAATAAGAGAAGTACTCAAAGTTTATAAATACTCGGGCATAATAGTATAACAATCTATGACATTTTTATATTTGATATTGTTTCTAGATGTGACATGTACATCCTTAATTTATAATTCACGATGTAATAAGAGATATAATGGATTTAGCCGCAGGAAAAGATGTATAGTACATCATTAACGCCAGAAAAATGCTCCGTCTACAACTCTCAAAAATTGCCGATTGATTTATTGATACGGATATAACGCCGATATACAAAGAGAATTTTTAAGGACTTTGCGCTGCGTTTAATCGTCGCCGAATCGAGAATGTGTCAACTTCTCTCCAATCCACAACGGATTTCCGAAATCGACGGTCAGCAGTCAATAAACGTGGACGAGAGAAGCTTTTTGTTCCACTTCGTATACGATGTGTTCGTCCTCGAAATCGACATATCTTTTTTCGTAGCGAATGCCATCGCGATGCCATCGCGGCGCGTATGTCCAATTCGCGCAATACAGGACAAATTTTCGTCGACAACCAGTCAACGGAGTGTCCGTTATCGCGGACGAAGACAAACGTAATTTGAGAGCCTCTGTGCCCGACTGAAAAACGGCATCGGCAAGTTTTTGCTGTGACCCAGTTTTTTTTCTCAGTCATGCAAACACTACACACTGAAAGAAAAATGATTGCAATTACCGGTCATAATTTAACTATAATTTATAATCATTTTCGATGCTAATTATATATATATAATACAATATATATATATTTTTTTATAGAACTATAAACAATTATTATTCAATCGTAAGTGAAAATCGAGAAATGCTCAATAAAATGTTTTTTAACCGGCTTTTGCCATTAAATTTCTAATAAATTTTCATAATTGTAAAATATAATAGGATAATATTATTCGAATATTACTATACGTTACGTAAACAAGCGTGCCCGCTTTTGCAAGCGATTTAAATATACCCGCAACGTCGCCTTCGATCAAGGAGTGACTTAACGGATTACGTTGTCCAATCTATGCAACCGCGGTGTGCAGTGAGAGTAAGCCGATAAAGTCATCTCGGCGAATATATATTGATCGAAAACTACCACTAAAGAGTAACCGCAACGTTTCGCGGTGAAGTAATTGGACAACAAGTGATATCCGTAATTTTATTTGCGGACGATACGATGGGACTTTTCTCTGAGCGAGCGCGTCGTCGTCCGACTTGTGAAAATCGGCGAGCCAGATTTCGGCGAGACGGTCAGCCTCTAATCCGCCACTCTGACGACGCACATATCTCGCCACGGTTCTGACCGGTGTCGAACTTTTTTTTCTGTTGCAGAGCCGAAGAAGGAAAAGACTGAACAGAACGCAAATGGCGCGATATCGCCGAGCGGCGGCGACGGCGGCGGCGGCGGCGGCGAGCCGCAGCCCGCCAATTTGGGCTCGGCCACGACCGTCTTGGCGATGCCGGTCCCGGGCCCGGCTCCGGATGCCGGGGACCAGCAAAAGCCAAACAGGCCGAACACCCTCGACGCCAGGGTGGTAGCCAGGAGGCTGATCTTGTTCGACAGTGAGTACACTCGTGAGCCGGCATGAGTTCTGCTACTTGAATCCTCCGCGTGTCGCGTGTCGCGTCATCGCTCAGAGAAAAGTTCGACGAAATCGATTGAAGTGTACATCAATCGGAATAAACGATTTTGCGACGAAGAGTGGGATAATGGAGAATATTTTGGTGAATAAAGAGAAGGAGGGGAAGTTATTACTAAAAAATCCTTACTAAAAATATTGTACTAAAATATGTCTGATTTTCTAAGAAGTCTCCTAATAGGGGAAATAATACTACACGCTTGAAAAATTTGTGTTAAATTTTACACAAATGATCCCAAAAATTTCAGTCCACTCAAATTTTTGTGTTAATTTAACACAAAAACTATAACAATTTATAAACAATTTTTTCCTTTATGTTTATAATTCTGATTTATATGTCTATAAACATTTTAAACATTTTCTCGCATTTTCTCAAGGATTACATATAAAAGATCCATAAATGCATAAACTTGAATTTCTTTATGCGACTATCATTATGCAGCTCATAGAAATTTTCAAATAAGAATTATCTCTCTTGAAGATCATCAATTTATAGCATTCTTTTACGTGCCGATTCGTATTCGACAAAGAACGATGAATTGCCGCGAATTCGTGCACATAAATACAATTATATGGAATGAACACGGGTGTAGGAAGTTTCTTTATTAAATTTAGTTGCCGCTTTGACGGTGCAATGTTATTTACATATTTTTAATACGTTTTGGAAACTGAGAAACTAAAAGAGAACAGATGAGCTTAAATGTGTACGAGAGTTATATCTATCTTTTATTATAAAATTATTACAGTCTCGAACTAGTTGCAATAGCATTGAAATACAAACGCGAAATTTCCCGACCTTTACATTCCATCGTGGGTGATCGTTCATATTAAAACTTTTATTAACGACTGTTTAATTAAACTCCTACGTATCATACACTTTAGAGAATACAACATCAAGTAAAACCTGACTTTAATATTTTAACTGTTTAAGCAGTTTCATTCTTTTTCATCTTTACATTTTTTTCAAATAGGAGATAATTGAATTCTTTTTCAAAGAAATAAAATTCCGAGGAAAATTTCTAAGGAGAGATCAGAATAACGCTGCTTAGCATCACATATCCAATAAAAACTGATAATAGCGTACGTGCTCAGAAAATATTAGGTTGAGTAAAAAGTCATCGCGTATTTTTTAGCTCAAGGTTGTATATACAATATCTTCGTCAATAATGAATGAAATTCAAATTTAAAAAAAGGGTTTTAAAGCTTGAAATCTCTACTTTTAAAAGCTTATCACATTTTTTAAGTTTATACGAGTTTGATAATTTTTACATACCAAAAACTACGAGCTGAAAAAGACGAAAAATTTTCTTCTCACTTTGTGGATTTGTAACGTGTCCAAAACGAATTTGAGAAAATTTTCGATTACCTATCGTGAAAGCTTGATACTTTCCCTACAAAATCGTTTTTTTTTAATATTCCTACGACTTTTGATTACTGAGTTATCGCGGATTAAATAAAAGAATTATTTTGACTTTAATTGCTCATAACTCCATTAAAAATTGTCGTATCGTATAATTTAAAAAAGAGATTTTTAAAGCTGAAACTTTACTCTATCAAGATATATTTATATTGTTGGTAAGAAAGTAATTGCGGTTTTTACTGATAGATGTCTTTTAAAAAAACGCGATGACTTTTTACTTAACCTAATATATATACGTATATATATTCAAATAAGTTTGAGATTAATCGCACTCCCACGCACAGTGCAAACTCACGTGATAACGCGGTCCGTACGTTGCCAAAAATTTTCGCGATAAATTTCGACCGGGCTAGAATCAAATATGTGTTGGTGATCAAACGGCGACCGGACGATCCTCGGGGAATGCTTGGTAGCCGAAGTATCTCGCCTGGTAACCGCCTGGAACTTCGTCCTTTTGTGTCAGAATTTAGGTGCGCGACATTATCAAATGGCCAGCAGCGCGAGTGCGCGCATCCACCGACTTGTTTAACATTCCAGCCGATACTGGCCGTGGGTATAACGACGGGTCGTTATTCATGAAAAATACGTGAGTCTTTATGAAATGAAAATTCTAAAAAAGAAAAAAAAAGGATACAACGGAAAGTGGTAGCGCCAAATTAAAAATTCCGCCCGGTGTTCCGTACACGACGGTATATAACGGGATTTAATAATAAACAAATTCGGCGAAACCCGCAAACTGTGTTTCGCAAGTCTCTCATCTAGCAGCTGCAACGAGCATAAGCGCGTGGCATTCGTTCGCGTTTGCCAAGATATTGTTGCTCCCGCATCGCGATGAATCACGGTGCATGAAACGGTGGCTCACGTTTCTTGCAACAACTGACTTTGATGTAACTTTATTAGATCGGAACGCGCGCCCCTTTCGATCGCATTTGATGCGACAGTTTTTAAACAATTTAATGAAAATAATCTATCATTGTATCTCCTCCATTTTAATGCTATGCGAAAATAATATTTTTGATAGAGCATCTAAAAATTTAGAGATAGATATATAAATCTGAAAATAACTTTGTTAATTAATGTTGTAAAAAATTTTTGACATTCAAGTTTTGAGCGTTATAATTAATTATTTTGATGGTCCAACAAAAAATTATTTTCAAATGTATGTCTAACTAAATTTTTATATAAATACTTCAGCAGAAGTATTTGTTCTTTCCATGTATAGACAATAAAAACGTCTTAATTTTGCGATTGAATTTAGAGACGTCGACGTTGAGAAGAAAGGTTGAACGGTAGAACGGAATAATAAAAATTAATTAGCAGAATAGTGTGAATCTTGATGTACAATTATCTCGATGTAATATTACAAGCCGCATTTTTTTTCTGTTTTCAGTGGACAAGGGGGTGCTGGATCAGAGCGCCGACAATCAGCAGGTAATCGAGAGGTGTTACCCGTTACCACCTCAGAATACCCTGATGCTGTCGGAGCTCCCAGAGCCGCCGATACCGTTGAGCGAAATCGGCCCTATACCACCCCCGCCCATGTTCAGCTCTCCGAGTCCTACTTTGTTAGCGAGACAACGGCAAATACCGCTCTCGGACTGCGAGGACGAGGGTAAGTGTCCGTAATGAAACATTAATGCCGCGGAAGAGAAGAGTATTGGAGCAATTAATTGGAGCAATTAATCACATGACAGAACCTCTTCATCGCTTATTTGAGTCTCCTGTCGTTGGCACGATTCTAAGATGACCGATAAATCAGTAGTGTTCTGTATAAGCAACAACGTGTGCTCTTGTCTTCTGTTAGTTTGATTTTTAATATCGCTATATATATATATATATATAT